AATATTTTGTTGCATAGAGATTCCTCTCATTTCGTCTCATGCCTTCATCTGCTACAAAGTTTGAAATATCAGTGTTTGTTTGTTCAAACGTAGATATGCATACCAAGATGTTGTGGCATCAATTTTGGTAGCAGTCTTCGTTTGATTTATAGCAGTAATCTAACTTCTTTTCACAACTTTGTCATGGTAACAGGAGGACCTCGTTGGACGCACCTTGTCTGAGGTCTTTTGCAATAATAGTTATGATTGTTCTCATCGTTTATGCATTCCCTGATTTTTCGCCATCATCGTATTTGGCATCGGTAATGAGTCTTACCATTCTCATTGCCAAACTATAAATGGTCAAAGAGACAAGCAAAATTATTCTCTTGATCAAGTTGTTGCATAGTTCATAAAAGCAAAAAGTAAATCTCCTTTCTACTTTTATAAAATCGAGGCCTTAATTTATGTATTGACTAATTCAATTTAGGTCACTTTAGTGAATTATTCCTTTGTCAACTTTGAGACATTCTCCTTCCAGAACTTTTGTTAGAGTTAGTACTGGGTGAAGCGTTAATTAGAAAATATTGAACTACTATTTTTTTTATCACTTTACGTGAGTTAAGCCGAATAAAGTGCATATTTATGATCGCCTGGTAACATCGAAATCTACTCAATCTGAATATAAGTTATGGATTCGGTTTAAATAACAAATACAAGTTTTCTTTATTGAAACTCCCATTATTAAATGTGAACTGGGATAGATCTGGCTTGCCCTTTGACCTACAGACATTCGTGGCAGTGGCTTAATGACATTTCGAGAATTAACACTTTACAACTCGAACCTGATTCCTGTTAAAAGTTTAAAAATGTAAGCCAGCCTAGATTAACTTTGACCAGCCGTTTTGCCTGAGAAGTCTAGGCAACTACCTCACTCATCGCAGATAAGGAGAGGTTTGAGACTACTAGTTCTTCATCATCTTAAACGAAATAAGGTGAATACATTTCATTTAACTTCTTTTAGGCAGCATGTCGAACTGAAGTTCAACTATACCGTGTGGCCTATTTGTAACATTTTGGGAAAACTTAACTATCAATCGTTCATCACTTTATGCCATTCAGAGTGGTACAGTCTATAGTGAAGATCTTATATTAGCACAACATTTTGCAAAAAAATATATTGCTGCGCCCAGCATTACCCTATTATGACCCATATTAGGTCTCTAACGCGAAATGTAGTCGAATAACTAGGAAATTGCTTAATGAGGAAAATTCGTAAAATGAAGAATTAAATCGCCAGGAATTAGCTTCAGATATGTCTAAAGCAAAGCAAGCATTTGATTTTCAAGTCTCGCAAGACAGAAGAGAGTGAATACATCCCAGAGCACATCTGAATCTAAACAATGTATTCAGGCTCAGTCTGATTATCTAATTTCAAAATTTTGCCAGATTCACGTTATCCTCTTATATGCTTAGCAAGCTAAGCCAATGAAGGGTATTTTACATGCATTTTGAAGGATCTTAGCCAGCATTTCTCAGTTCTACAATACACCATAGTATTAGCAGTTTGCATATCCTGCTTTGCATATCCTGTTCACTCTCAATTCTCTTGTATTGAAAACTTTCATGTTCTCATAAATTTGGTTGCCTTATATGAAAATCCAAGCAAACCGATGTTGTGTTGATTTTACTTTGATGTGATAGTTGAATTGTGCTAAAATTCAACTATCAATCCATCATTACTTTAAGCGGTACTTATTTACTCAGCTTTGCCTATACAGAAACAAGGAGACTTCCAAAATCGTGTATAGCCTAGCTTGGCAAATTTCGAGGCCTTACATCATGTTTATCAAGACCTGGGTATAGTCAACTATCGGTTATGCTTGCTCTTCCACTAAGCTCTCCTTTGGTGACACTCACAAGGGGTAAGCGAAAGATGAGCAGGCTGAACAGGGCTCGCAATCATCAGCTAATAGATTTTTCTCGGAGCGATAAAATCCAGACTTGCAATGTCTACATCTTGGACCGGCCGTTTGACCTGAGCAGTTTAGGCAACTACCCCACTTATCGCAGGTATCGCAAGCGCATCGAGGCCTGCATTGACCCGGCATCTTGGGATTTGGCTCGTAGTCAGGTGCGCAAATCTAGAGAAGGTAAAAGGTGAAATAGGAAAATATAAGTTTATATGATAAGATGAGGCTCAAATATAGCAAGGTTAAGAAAAACTTTGTTGGGCTTTTTTTCATTTTGAATGAAGGCGTATGATAAGAAGATTTAAATATATATTCTATCAAAGCGAAGATGGTCTAATAGACCTTTGGAACATTCTTGCTAGAGCCGACCCCCAGGCAATCGAATTCGAATCCGGTGAAATTGTACTCCTATTTTATTATATATAACTATTTCGTTCATAATATGACTAAAACAATTATATATATATATATATATATATATAT